TGATATCTTACTACACCAGGAGTGTTTTGTTGAAAGCATGTTGGACATACATGCTAGACAACACACCTTTTAAGTTTACAAAGCTCCAAAAAGAAGATATTTTGGATTGCACTGGGGCGTGTTAGGGATTCCCACCTTTGGCTAAATATCTTTCAGCTAAAAACACTGAAGTGTTGCCCAAATTTTCATGGGGAAAAGCAACACACCAAACTCCAAAGAAGCACCGGCCAAACATCTCAAACAAGAAAAACACATTAATTGATAAAAACACATTTGCACACATATTCATCTTAGCACATCAAAGGGATTCATTGATGTCACTGAACATGGGGAGCGTTGCGGCTGGAGAGGGGAGATGTTGGTTCTCCTTTCCTCAAAGGGTGCTGAGATGCTCCTGATGGGCCGGCGCGCGAGGAGCCAGAGAGAGCTATAAACAGAATTTCTAATGTCAGGCGGGCGAGAGGGTGGGTTAGGTAGTGAACGAGCAGACTAGCCGGGGTAGCAGGAGGAATTGACGCCAGCTCATGCTTCCCACAGAGACCAGCAGAGGGAAGGATGCAGACCAGGACTGACACCATTTCACACAATCTGTACGAGTGATGTTAGGAAGCCAGTCAGAGCATCTCTGAATCTGTTCATGTATAACTTCATCAGATGTGTTGTATGTACCACTTCTTAGGATACAGATTACAGAAAGTTGATTTGCACCACTTCTAACACACGATTACATGATTTATATAAAATAGCATGTAAAGTGGAATACTTGTATCATGTTACGACAACGTAGTCACACCTATAAACTGCTTTGGTTTGTTTTGCACTAAATAGACATGACCTTGTTTGTATCCGTCTACCACTGGGACGATTAATCTATCAATCAAGCTACAGACAATTGGTGGACATTGACCATTTTGTCAGTCAATTAATCATTTTCAATCATTAAGTCAAACATTTGCAGACTCAAGCCATTTTGCAAGTAAAAACTCTCCGCTTATTAATGATAGAGTTAAAAGACGCCACCTTTGGCCCACTGGAAATCGTGATGAGCAAATGTGTGACTTTGTGACATTTTGTAGACTAAATGAAGAGACTGCAAAAAAAGGAACATGCATATTGATTTTAAATGCAAAAAAGCAATACCACTAGCAGACCTACCAACACAGAAACATAAAAAAGATTGCTGAGAAAAACAACTGTTGCAATACGTTGCATACAAATGTTGAAATAAGTAACAATTTATGTTTTCTGATCTCGTCAAATGTTTCTCTTTTGAAATAAAGAGTGAAATCAACCCCCTTCTACAACTAAATGATGAATGATATGTCATTCAAACTTTTTGCCAAATTCAATTAAATGTCCTCTAACGCCTAAAAAAAAAAAACATCATAATGTAGCACTCCAGGCAGGCTTTCTCAGCCAGCGATGGCATTTCTGCGGCTTCTGGCGATGTGTTTTTAATTGAACAGAGCCACTAAACTGATGTCTATGTGTTTGCCTTTGAAGGAAAAATCTTTTCAAAACTATAAACTTAGTCCAAACTGTTCGCTCTGTTGACACAGTGCTTGGCTGAGAAAATATTTGCGCGCCAACATTCAGGAACACAACACTGAGGGTTGTCAGAATATGTAGCAGCACACTGTTCCCTCTGTTGCAAAAGTATCCACAGAGCCTCACCTGAAAGCCCCCCCCCCCCCCTCCCTCCACTCTCCTCCATCAACTTCCCCACCACCACCAGACCGTACAGACACACAAATGCACACACAGGCAGCAAGGTGAGTGAGCCACCTGATGAAAAGACACCTCCACACACAAACGGCTTTTGCTTATGCAGGGAGAGGCCCCTTTTCTTCAGCGGGACAATGTCTCTGTTGACTTTTTCTTTGTCTGCACATTTTTAAGCACCCAAAGCTGCAGAAAGAATAGACGTCAGAGAGGCATGCACATACAGCCTTCAACATGCTCAGACTTATTCAAGCTCTCCATTCATATCTCAAACTATTTTCTATTCAGGCATCATGCTCCGCAGCTCGAGTTTGTCCTAAAGATATATTCGAGTGGCTAACCTCGCCGTCTCCTACTCCCACACATATGAGGCATTTCTCGCTTTGGTGACGATGATGATGCACCAGCAAAGCCATCCCAAAGTGATGATGAAGCTGACAAGTGTTGGCGTCAAGCTGGAGTGTGTGTTCACCAATTAAATCTGGCACCAGTCTGTCACTACAGGAACAATGCAGCGATAATCACTTCAATGAGTCTACAAACAATGAGCTAGATTTGTCCTAGAAAAAAAACAACAACTCTCTCTCTCTCACCACGGCAGTAGGCAGGAGTCTGGTGGTAGAACATCTCTGCAAACATTAAACCTCCTGCTCAACTCTCAGAGGATTACAGCAGAATGTCAGCTCTGAGCAGGCTTTAAATCAGTTATGCTCGGCCCTCAGGGGAACTCTGTGCTGATCCCATGTAGGCCTGTCCCTCATTGCTCATGATAGGGTTGCCACATCCAAATTTGAAAGTTCAGGCCTCAAATCCTTCAACATGCAGCACATTGCAGAGTTTAATCACTGTTAGGCAACCTGGAGTTTCTATTTTTTTCCACCGCATGTCTCTTTAAAATCTGATTTTTATTACAAAGAGAGTGAATACACTTTTAAAGCGCTTGTTTTTACAAAAACAAAACACTGTAAAGGTCTAAAAGTGGGGGTTTAAAAATAGACACATGCAGAAAAGGTAAAATAGCTCACACTTAAGCACATATTTTCACATTTCTCAAGCACACAGGGACTTGGTTTCGTGCTATTAATTGCATGATCTGTTTAAGAAGCAGATCTTTATTGTGTCCCATGCAGCACAAAAACAACCACATACCACACCACACTTATAAAACAAATCTGTCAGTCCCAGCAGGCCCTTCCAACACACACACACTGTTATAATAAAGTGTTTGCAGGCTCCAGGGATTGTTTGTATCTCAACCCCAGAGAGGTGACAACGCAAACGAGGTTAGCCTGTGGGCAAAATTTTATCTCACGAGCCAATCAGCCTGTTCCACACACTGATTATGCAAGATAAATGTTAGCCTGGAGCTCATTAGTCAAACCAAGATGCTGGACCAGACGAGGGTGCAGGCCGTTGAGAAATATCACCCAGAAAACCCTGACTGTAATGAACTTCACCCACAGGTGTAAACAAAAAAAAAAACTCCTAGAATGCAATGCCTAAACGGTACTAAGTTGAACGTCTAATCAATCACATTTGGAGCATTCACGCTGAGCCTTGTGCAATGCCGAGACCTTAAGAAGGCTGCTAAGTATGCCAGCTATTGTCTGCCTGCATGTTTTCTGCCACGCTGATGATTGACAGTGTCAGCTCACTCTGTCCCATTGACCTCATTCTTTTTTTCCCCCTTTCAATATGGGGGATTATTCCTCTGAATTTTAAATCCTCTCCAATTATTTGCTACTTTGCCTTGAGCAACAGTTTTTAATTTTCATCATAGTTTAATCTGGACACAAACACAAGGGAATAAAGACAAAAACAAAACGGAGACTAGATCTTAAAGTTCCAATAATTCTGTTCCTTAATTGTACCAAAAAAAACCCATAAAGGTGTCAGGCAAAATCCTTCATCACTTCCAGGCCAGCATGTTTATCTCCAACACTATTCTTAAAAAACTCTTAAGGCAAAAAGTAACTACGTAGACGATCTACACGTATCACTGAGAGCGGGTAGAGTAGCCATTTAGTTAATGAGCCCCAATGGAGACCTCCAATGAAGCCATCAAGACTGCTCAGAATAACAATGGTCGACTAACGCCTTTCTAATTGAATGGAAGGTAGAGGGAGGCGAGGGGAGTCGTGGGCCTGGAACAGTGAAAAGGAGACAGAAAAAAGCAAGGAGGAGGTGGAGGTGGGGGGTGTCTTTTCAGTCAGATGCCTGCCAGGCCTTAACGAAAGTACTTGTTTTTGGGGGGGATGTGACATAGATTGGGGGAGGGACGAGCTCTAGGGGGGGGGGACACAGATCTCCAGCCGGGATTATTTCAAGGAAGTTTGTATAGCCATGTATAAACTGTGGCAATAAAGAGTGCTATTTTAGTGCTAAAATGATGCAAATTGGTTAGAAAATCAGTTTTTAATGTCACAAAGTACAGTCCAATGACTCTCTGGCCTCAGTTTGGGATTTATTTGTGTGAATGCAACAATTAGTCTTGCTATTGTCGTTGCTAACTTATGTGAAATTAATGCAAAGTCTCAATTAACCTTTATTTCTATAACACATGAAAAAAGTAACCATTTTCCTGCAACTTCGTCAACAACACGCACTTAAGACTGTCAACCTTATCTAGAGTTTCTGCACAGCAGCTGTCATGGACGGTGCATTAGAATCCCTCCCATGTGTGGTATTACATTGTTGTAACTGTAGGAAATGACTCCAGGAAAAGCTTTTTTTCTTCATTCACTGAAGCTCATTTGTGCAAAAAAAAAGGCTGTAGGTTCTAAAATACACTTGCAAGCATGCAAAGTTATCCTCAGGCAAACTTAGAAATATCTTGCAACCTTAAGATAAATCTTTAGCTAAATAAATGCCTCTTTTCTGTAAATTGCAAGTCCCTTCAGGAAATTAATAGTGCAAGCACATAAATCAGCTTTAGTAAAGTATATAATCAAGATCCAGCGTGAGTGTTGCAGGGTATTTTCGACCCTGCTGCCATAAATCCTTCAAAATAACAAAGAATGACTAATGTGTCTGAACTTTGAGCCAAAATGAGAAGTTGTCAAATACAGGCCCCGCAGAGGATGGGTGGCAGTTAGAAATGTAGGCTATATCCCCCCAAAAGAACAAAGAAGTAGTTAGTACTCCTTGAGAGGCCACTCAGAGGGAATATGGCGGTCTGGCTGTGCGCAAGGAACTTTTACGCACGGACAAAGTTTTCGCAATGTGAAAATGAGGAAAATAGAGAAAAGAGTACATTAGATCCAAATATGGACACTTACTGTTCTTGCACTAGGAGAAAGAGACCCATTGGATAGGTACGGGTTGGTGAGGTCTGGGATCATGAGAAACGGGTAGCCAGGATAGTGGGGACTCTTGAAAAAGCCTCCATCTTGCTGCCTTCTCAGTGCTGCAAGGAAAAAGGAACACCCCGGGTTAATAGAGACAGAAATGGGACAGAATTGCAAAATAATAGCACAAAAGGTGACGATGAAGTTCTCAGTTTTACCTTCATGGAAGTAGTCTCTAGTTTTTTCATAACTTTCTAAGTCTGGTCTGGCTCGGGGACGCCGCTCAGCCTGCTGACAAGGAGAGAAGCACACACGGAGGGGAAGACACTGTTGAAACTTTTAACACCATTAAATCGTATTTGTTCCGATGCTGAGCAGTTTTGGGAACTAGTTATCTTACCTCTGAATCTGACGAGCTGCTGTTGTTTTCCGACTCGTTCACTAACGAGGACTTCACATCATCCAAATCCCTTTCCGCTGACACATTTTCGGATATCTTTTCTTCCTGCTCTCCTTCGTCTTTAAAAGGAATCATCTCATCATTCGCCCCCAAATCATCCCCACCGCCTCCGTTCAGCTGTGGCATTTTTGCAGAGTATCTATTATCAACAGAGGGAAAACAATCGCAAGAAGAATTTGCGTTCTATTTCGGGTTTTTGTAGTCCAAACGCGTCTCCGGAGTAGTAAACTAACTACAAGAAGCTGTTCATGATTTAAAACTCCGTTTTCATCCTCTAATCGGGGTTCCTCGGTCCATGGCGATCATAATCCACAGTTAAAGTTGCAATAAAGACGCTGATATCGATGACTATTTGGCGTCGGTTGCCGGATGCGCAGAGAGTTGGCAAAGTTTGAGCTCCTTCGCAGCTTGTGGACAACTTGTGGCCCCTGTGTGTGTCTCCTTGTTGTGCTGCTGAGGAATGGGACTCTCTCTCCTCCTCCTACAGAGCCAGGGGACCACATAAACTACAGCCCAAGCCACCGAGAGGTTACTCGAAAACAAGACACACGTCCGATTTCATCTCCTAATATCCATGTGTGAGAAAACAATGGCTCGAGTCACCAGAAGAAAAAAAAAAAAAAGAAAGAAGAAAAACAACACGAGACGGCGTGGCTGTAGTTTCCTTCACTTGTAACACTGCTTTCCCTCACGGAGGAGTGGATTCTGTGTTTTCTTAATCAGGCACAAAAGTTAAGAAAGTATTTAAGAGAAATAAGGTATTAAAAGTGTTCAGCTGGACGTGATCGCCCTTTCCCTCCACATTGCTGCCGGGGAATGCGCCCTGAAAACTACTTGGTTGTTCAAGTGGAAGAAACGCGCAGCCCGTCCGTCCGTAGGGGAGGAGTTTGTGCTGAAAACCGACACTTCATTCAGCAGCACGTATAGCAGCAACTCTCAAGCCACCACACCATGAGACAGAAGAGTAGAGGTCTGAACATGGACAAAGAGTGTCAATCAATAACGTGTTTTAAAATAGGAAAATATTATAGCTGCAGAATTTATCACTTAAAGGGGCAACTCCTCCAGCAAACTTAAATGTCTCCTGTGCAAAAAATTCTGAAAACAATGTGTTCTCATGATCAGAGTTGCAGTAAACTTTACAGTCTATCATGTGGTGTGACCAGCTGATAGCTCCAGTTTTGCAGAGACCACACAGTCTCCATCTGTGTGAAAATGACAGACCAGGCTTAAGTGAGAAAGTCATAATTACACACTGCCATGTAAATTGCACGTCTGTGTGTCTTGAAACAATACGCTGGGAAACACAAGGAGCAATAACACCTGGGATAAGCATGGCCCATTATGGCACAAATATAGGCATGACAGAATATCCAGGCCTCCTGTGACAATCAGGCACGGCTCACTTCTTTTTCTCTGCTCTGACACACATGGCATGAGTGTTCATTTGAGCATCGTGATTAGAGGCACACCTTTTGCAAGAAATCTTGGAAGAACATGGGAAGTGGTTATAACTTACAACCTGCAAATAATTCCTTAATCACTACTTGGAGGTGTGTTAAAAGTCCAGTGTTTGCTCAAAAAGCCCTAAAAGTTGCAAAGTTTTCCCACAAAAGTTCACTTTTTCTCTTTAGCTCTTGCAGCAGATATCCTTATTCACTCAGCTCTCTCTCAGTCCAAATCCAGTGGACCTCAGACTCGTCTTTACATCTGATGCAATCGGACAGGCCTCCCCTGTTTGAGAAAAGAAGTCATTGATGTTGTCGACTGCGTGTCAGCAAGGCTGAGGGTTGACTGACAATTCAGCAGGGTCTCCACGGGCCTCATTAGATCTCCTCTCCTCCTGGGTGTTTGTGTGTGTGTGCGCGTGTGTGTGCGTATGTGCACGTCGGTGTGTGTATTTGTATTCAGTTTAAAGCAACATATACGCTGGTTGCATACTGCATTTTCTATGAATCGCTTGCAGGGTCGTTATGGAGAGTGGGTTTCTTGTAGTTTACACTTGCATGCACACTCACAGGTGAATATATGCCCTCAGGGTGCAGATCATTGTTTTCCTGGGCTTCAGTATGCCGAGAATGTGAAAGAAGGCATTTTTCCAAATGATGCTCAGGCAACATTGTGATCATCCCAACTGATGATGCAACCTTTACTTTGACACTGACCTACAGAGCAGATTTCTACACCCCAAAAACAACTCCAAACAGAGAAGAAATAGATGATTCTCTCGAAATCTAACTCATGTCAGAGACTTAATGGACTATGTCTGTCCCAGCAGGTGTAATTACAATTATTCAGAGCTCATGCACCATGGCCTCATGAATGATTAATCAAGAAATCAAATATTAAAACAAGTCAACACACTGAAAAATAATAATGACATGCATAAGCAGTTTCTGACCATGGAACATCTCTAAAATCCTGACACTTCTCACACACGCACAACTTTCAGCAGTGTGCTATTAAACACACCGGCATGCAGTGAGTAGAAGTGAGCTGTAACAGCAGAGTGAGATGTTACACCTCTGTGATAAATAAAATAAACAGATTCAGTGTATCTGGAATGTTTTACCTCGAAGAAGGAGCTCCAAAATGTCTAAAAATGTAATGATGAGAATTCAGTCATTGCCTTTCCTTGCGCTTGAAAACATGAATTGTCAGAATCACACTACTGCTATTTGACTGAACAATGCACTTCAGGTGTCTTTTATGTGTTTTGCCCAAAGAAAGAACCAGCACTTTATTGATGTTCGAGTATTTAATGGCAATTTAATCCCTCAAACCTGCAACAAGCTAAAACAGATGTATTTCTCTCCATAATTTTACCTTTCCATCCCCCTTTTCCTCTCTTTTTCTGCCTTGTTAGAGCAGGATTGGTTATAACTGGGAGCTGATGAGGGGTCAGGAGAGATGCGAGCAGCCACAATCTTAGCCTGGGGGCAGATCGACTGGTGGCCAGAAAATTTATTCAGAGGGTGCTGTCCCTGCATCTGCCTTACTTTGAAGTTGCTCTCTCAACTCCGGCTTGTCGTACGTGACTGTGTGTTCATTTTTTTTCTTCTCCCTCACTAAAGAGAGCGGGCTAAAAAGCTGGAGAGATGGCGCACTCATGTGTGTCGATATCCATGTATGTGCTTCTCTCCATGTGTGTGTGTGTGTGTGTTTGTGTGTGTGTGTGTGTGTGTTTGTGTGTGTGTGTTTGAGAGGAGAGGAATGGAGAGGAAGGAGAGATGCTGTGTGCCAATCCATACTCGCTTTGGAGAATTCAAGGTCATTCTTTCATGTTTTGCCAACCACCGGTCAATCAGTCCCCCCAATCAAAGTGGTGCTTAATTCAGCAGTAATTCCCATCCTCCTCATCACGCTCTCGCCGCACGGTTTCAGAGGTGTTCAAGCTTTTCCCTTGTCTTTCCTTCTGATCTGCTGTAGTTTGTCCAACCCGTCCTGCCAGGGCCAAACGCGCCCTGTCAAGCTCTCTAACAACACTAGTTAAAGTGTGCGGAGGACATGTCAGATCATACAATGTGCTGCTGCATGCTGCTGCTTCTATCCATCTCACTTCTGGAGATTTAGGTCTCGCATGATTGTCTTTGAAGCATACCCAAGTCATGTTCTTTTATTCATCCAGCGAGGCCTCCAGAATAACTCAATTTGGTGCTTGAGCTTAAATTTAGTAAGAAAACTGTCCAAAAATACAAACTGGAACAATTAAACTATGTAGATCAAATCCTTATATTCCTGAGTCTTATATCAGCCAACATGATTTATTTACAGAACGTAAACCAATCAATATCATCCACTGTTGTTGATTTTTCTTGGATTAATCTAAACAACCTGAAATGTGTTTTTCCCGTATATGAGCTCATGGTGCAAACATCCAACGTTACAGAATGTGAAGCAGATTTAAATGATTTAAAAAAGATCAACTGTTTGTCTTTTAGTATTCATTGCATCTGCACTGACATGAGTCCTTTTTTTTTTTTTTTTTTGCATCACCACATTAGCTCACCTCCTCAGTCATCACACTAAGTCAGCATGGGAGTGCCTCATGCAATCATAGATCTCACAAAAATAACCTCATATCCGTTTTAATCCTCAGAAAGGTCCCCTTTCCAGGCTGGTATGGGCGTATATGGCATTTAAGACTGTGTGAGGATATGATTAGACGACAGTTTTTACTGCCTACAGGGTGTAACTGAAACACTAAACTGTGCAGGGAAGAGGAGAGAAAAAGAAACGTTTTTATTCGTGCCTTTCTGCTCCTCTCTGGCGCTTTGTTGCATTAGGAGTATCCTTTTTCAGAATGACACTGCTTTCAAGACAAGAGGGAGAAAACACTTACATTTGAAGAGTGGTGACTTTATCTCCAAATTAGAATGAAGATAACGCTAAGCCAGTGAGACACAGAGTGATTAAACATATTTATGTTTTGTGATTTATACGCTTAGAAACCTCTCAGTAAATCTAATGAATGATTGAGAGAGACTGAATGAATGAATAAAGTAAATCAATGCAGCTTGTGTAAAGGATGTAACATCATAAGACCTAAAAGACATCAAACATGTTCCAGGTCCTCCAGCAGGAGGATTTACATGGTTGCTAAGGGGAGGCTGCTCACTCCTCTTTATACATGTTGGTGTTGTTCTGTATTGCAGGGGATGCTTTTAAGGAGCATTATTCCCGAGAACTTCAAAGCCTGCAGAAAGCACTCTCCTTCTGGAGTGTGCAGCAGCTTGAAAATGTACTTATATTTTCCAAATGGACAGGAAGAGGCCCTCGCTGGTATTGAGGTGATGCTAATGCAGTGTGGCGCTAGTTTTCAGTGAAACTCGGTTTACAGCAGAAAATGCAGCCTGAATTTAACGCTATTAATCTTTTACAGGCTTTGGTTTATATTCACTTTAATTTCCCGTAGTTTTAATTACAAGAGGACAGTCGTACTTTTATTTCGCTGTGTCTACATGGAAAGTTATGGTTAAAGAGGAGAAACAAGCTCAGCATACAATGCCAACAGGTCCTCCTGGACATTTTCTTTTAACTACATGCAGCTCTGTGACTACAATAATTGTCCACAAAGCCTGACTCAGACTCTTTCCATATGCTGCACCCAGACTTTTGGTTTTATTGATCCAGTTAACACTATCGCTCGCAGGGTCACAGTCTTCATCCGTCTGTGTTTTCTCAGCTGAGGACGTGCTGCACCGCTCCTCGGAGGACTGGAGATTCTTTCCTGTGATGCAAACTCCCTCGCCCCAGTGAGAGGCTGTTGACTTTATTTAATATGTCCGCCAGATTTTTTTATGAGCATTACGCATATGCAATGGTTTGCATTATGCGTGGACCATACATTCCACAGAGGCATGCATGGCTGCAGACAGCTGGAAGTAACTCGAGCCGCTCGGTCACTTATCAGCACTGGCATCCCTGCCATTTCCCATAGCCATCTTCAGGCCCGAAGAATCCAGCCATTGTTTCTGTCTCTGTGGGCCCTGTGTTAACTCAGCACTGCCCTGCTGATTGTTGCAGAGATATTAAAGAAAATGGTAGATTTGTCTTTGTCCATATAACCCTGTCTTGTGACATCCAAGCCCTATGTGTGTGTGTGTGTGTGTTTTATGTGTGTCTTTTGAGGGGGTTCTACTTGATGCGGTTGTAGAAAAGCAGCTGCACCTGCTCTGTATGTCAACAACAGGGTCTGGAGCAGACACTCAAGAAGAGAGGTGGCTTTCACACCACTGGCCTCGCTGAAGCTGCTTACTTTCCAAAGACAACAATGACCACGCTGCTCTGCTTCGCCACTGAGCTTTCAGGCTCTATAGGATTGGCGCCTGGTCTGTGTGGCCTCCAGATTATCTCCTCTACATACAAGCTTATTTGACTTCCTCATGTCCCCTTGTTTTTGTGCCTCTAAAGTTTCCAGGATGCTTTTTCGACTGTCTGTTTTACACATAGAGACAGGATCCCCCGTGGGGGTTGTTAAGAGGTTACAGGGGGGTAGTAAAGGGGTCAGGGAGAAACTGTCAGTCTATTTCCTTTCTCTGGCCTTGGGAAACTTGCACCACAAGTCCTTTGCATATTTTTAGCGTCCTTGCATTGCTTTTGTCTGTGTGTATCCACAGGAGATGATAAAGTTATTCCCAGTCCACAGGGGGCTTGTCTTTCTCACATTAATAACTCATTACAAGGGGGTTGTCTTTATGGTCCCTTTTTTTAAAAGCCACTATAGAATGACCGTTTTTCAGCAGCACACAATCACAATAATGCACAGCGTCTGGAAACCATCATCTTTATGTGTTGCTGCGTAAATCTTTCTTGCATAGAATAACTGTTGGTAGTTGCCTCATACTTGAGTGTGTGCAGCTGGTAGTGTGTGCACAATCACAGGAGGAGGGGCTGCTGTGGAGCAAACATCTTCTATCTCTGTTTTTCTACCAAAGTTGGTTCACTTACTTGAACTTCGATGTTTGGACATGAGGAGTAATCTGGACACTAAGACGGCATGTGATGAAAAGTAGTTTGTTTATATTTTTGTTGATTTGAGTTTTAATTGCGTGATACGAGATAAGACCATGTATGAGGGCTTTATTAATTTGGGATCACGTGTGTTCTTGTTTCCAAGCTGGTAAATACTGTCTTTGTTAAGTAGAGTTCTATTTTACTTGTGTTATCTAACCCTGGGGGGAAATAGACGCCATGTTTTTCGGGTTGTTTTTGTGCTGGTAGAGTACGCTTTGCAAGGAACTGAGTAATTTTGACCAGATTCATTTGATGGCCAAGAGCTGAAATGTGACAGGAATACATGGGTGTGTTTATTGAGGAAAACAGGTTACCTAAGAAAAAGAAGGCAAAATCTGATGACATGTCAGATAATAAACCAAAGTACTGAACCGAGCTCCTTATCTTTGCTTCAACATTAAGGGTGAGGTGAGGTTAGCGTTAGCTCTCATAAACCTGCCGGGAAGTTGTGCTCATCTGCATTCACCTGAACGGTGCCACAGCCCAGATAATATTGCTCACAGACATGTCTTACCTGCTGCACCACATTTCTTCTTGTGTTATCGTCAGGTGCATCACACATCTCTCTCGCTCTCTCTCTCTGTATGCAGCTCAGTGTGTGAAGATCTAGGTGCTCATGTGTGGTTGTAAATGTGGCTCCTCTCTGTGTCTGTAGTCATTTTTAAACCACTGTACATGTTGATTTATAGAGCTGTCACTATTTGTGTTGTCTCTCAAGCGCTTTGGCTTCATACGGTATAGGCTAAGTGCTGCTAATACAGTCTGAAATAGGCCATGGTGAGAAAAAGACAGTTTAGCTCTAAGAAAAGGAGCTACTGTAAAAGTCCTCAGCGTGAAGAAACTCTGCTGAGATGTTGAGATGTTATATAAACACAAAAAGTGTTAAATCAAATTAAGATGACCTCAACAGGGCTGTTGTTCTTGCTTTTTTAATTCCACAATACAATTATCACCCGCTTAATGGAAAGGTACGTGCCAATAAAAATAAGTCATTTCTGTTTTGCTTTGGCCCACCTCTCTAAACTCTGCAGCTGCAGCACACTGTGGAAAACAAACAGTACACTGCAGCTGGGCTCCTCAAGACAGTGAGTGGGGAATTTTAATCCCATTTTTTTTTTTAACTTTGGCACCAGTCTGATTTATTTGGTCGTAAAGAAAGGAAAAGCACCCCACCATCTGAGAAGGATTGGGAAGTGAGAACGCAAATTATGCCAGAACCCCAGTTGTAGACGTAGAAGCGCAACAGGCCAGGAAATGAATCCCCGATAGGTCAAAGTGCTCAGTGCACAGAGGAGTCTAATTAGCTCCGATAGTGACACATTACAGGAATACCTGTACAGCTCAGATCACTGTCACACTTACAAAGAGCACAAAGAGCAGATATGCTGCAGTACAAGTTTTTTCACTGATATCATTTACAGTTACAGTTTTATCACCATGAGCCACATACAGACTACAGCCAAAAGCTAACCTACACATGTCTCTCATCCATTCCTTGCAGCACGGCCCAGAACACAAACTATCCCGAGAGCCTCAAACCATTTCCAGCTGTCACTTCCCTGCTCCGGTCTCTTACTCCTAACCTGATATGACAGGGCAAGAAGAGGTGAGGGTCGTGCCTCGAGGAAGATTCATGACATGTAACTAAAACTATGAGCATTATAATCATAATTGCCTGTGGTTGAAAAGTGAAGACGGCCAAGTGCTGCACCTATTGTCACTCATGTTACCATCATTAACTTCTCATGTTTCATCAGACACGACAAGTCTTACATACAGACAATAACAAGGCAAAGAACAATGAAAAATAACACACTTGTGCAGTGGAGGAATGTTGCAAGAACATTTACTCAACGTTAGTACACAACAGAGATGTGTTTGTCTTGCAGTTTGGTCGAGTTAGGCTGTTTTAAATGTTCTATAATATATTTCACTTGACTTAACTTGACTTGCCTTTCAATTTATATATTTAATCGACTACAATTATGGATAAATATTATCCTTATTATCCCATTACATGGCATTCATTTGAGAGCTGTCGTTACATATTGCTTTGCCTTTTAACATTTTACTTGCAAACAATGCATTTCAAGGAACTGAATATTTTTTTACAAAACACCCAACAACACAAAACAAAGTTTAGATTTTCAGTAAGATGATACCTCCATGTTTATCAATCCATAATGTAATATAATGTGACATGATTTCAGCAGACACAGGGGCTTTTATGACCACTATGCTGATGATATAGTGCTTTAACTTATACAAGCTGTGAACCCAATACCGTTGATATTAAAGCAGAGATGACAAATTTCTTCGCACACAGCTGCTTATTATTCAACTGAATGAGCAACATAACCAATTATTTTGTGTTTTGTGGCAGACCACCTGTTGAATACAAGTCCAACATCCTTTTTTTACCTTTCTTTTTTTGGTCTACCAACTCTACAGGGAAATATGTAAATGCTAAATGCTTTCCCTCCTTTTCCAGCTATTACTTCTTTTTTCTTTTTACATCATCACATTGTGAATTTTGTCATTTGACTGTACTTTTATACATCAGTAATAGCTGCATAAAGTACGATTTTGAATACATGGAAATACTTTTAAAGCCATATTTGGACACTGACATTTCGCCTTTCATAGTAGTTAAATATTTTCATACTACTTTCTCTATTGCAACATCATCCACCATTGCAATATGCGATTGTAAATTTGGTTAAAATCTAAATGTCATTAAGATTTCTGAACATGTGAAACTGTAAATGTAGGCAGTCTATCTGTTACCGCTTTGCACTATATGTGGAATGTGGTGTAAAACATAAATGAAAGTAAACTATATCTAGAGTGAGATTCAAACATACAGGATCACAGCTTTTGTGTTGCTGTCAAGGTGCTGTGGACAGACATCCATTAGTATTGAGCAGATAAACTGCATTGCAGCGAGCATCTGGAATATTGTTCAAAGCTTGGGTTAGCTGAGCTCCATAAAAGAGATGAATGTGTCCCTGTGAATGTCCAGAGAATAGCATGTCTCCTCATTCCTTTCCTGCAGCACTCTGAGGCTCAGGACAGGCTGAAGGCCCTGAAGCTCTTCAAGCTCAATAAAGAAATAAGAGTACAGCTCAAAAGCCTTAAAGAATAATCTTCACAGGGCTTATTGCACACAAAAACTTGAATTGAATTTGTGTGTCGTCTGGAGAGAGGTGCAAAAAGTTTCCATTATGGCAGGATGGTGTCTCTGTTTATCATAAACATCTGCTGCTAATGCTATGAGGCGACATATTTAATCGGGCTACAAAAACAGTATTTATATGGCTGTTTATGTAGCTGCGCTATTTAAAAGGTCACTGCAATCAGAGGCATGTATCTGCTGCATTGTCTCAGTCGATGTTTAAGTCATATCTGTGGTGAAAATGGTACAATGCAAGAATTACTTTCTTGCTTGGCTCATTCTCTTTAATGATATGCTTTACCCTTTTTGTAGCTATATTGAATTTCCCATTTTTGTATGGGATGCCTGCCATGTCTCAAATAAAGATATGCAAAGAATGCAAGACGGGGACAGAGCTCTTCACATGCAGACTAATGACAATCAGGAAGTTTAATATGAAGTATTGAGACGTAGCTTTGTCCTGACTTCATTTCCTGAAACTCTTGATGATGATTGTATGAAAGACAAAAGTGGGAAAGAAGAAGCAATTTTAATGTTTTGTTTTTTGAGGGGTGCATGCGCAGAGAGAGAGGGGGTGGTTGTGGCTTTATTTTTTTATTTTTTATCATCCCTCACTATCCAACCTCTTACCTCCCCTTTTGGGCCTTTAGGAGCATCCTGTGACCCCCGACCTCCCGGACAATAGAGGCCAGGACGTTTCCCAGTGAGCGCCGATGGAGCCAACAACAGGAACATGAGGGGTGCTCCTGGGAAACAAACTGTTTATTGTGCAGCAGGATGGACGCCCCCCCCCCCCCCCCCCTTGTCCCAATCACTTACTTTCACACACAATCACAGACACACACTGCACACCTCTGCAGAGTGAAATCCTGTCAAACAACAGGTGGCTACAAACAGAACTTGTCAGGAGAGTTGTATTCCAAGCTGTAGACAACTGTATTTCCTCTTGTGTATAGGTCACACAATATAACCACACTGTGACTAAGATCGTCTTTCTCACTGATTTTTTCATTTTTTACAAGAAACCACTCGTTTTTTTACAATGACCTGTTGCTTTCTCCTTCTTTTCTGCTCTGTCCCAGGCTCCACATGATAAGTTTATATTTAGTCAGACTTTCTATTTGATAACAGTACCACTACGTTTGTTGGTGCTGCCACTGCCTGTCTGTCTGCTTCAGAGGAAATCCCTCCTTTGTCTCTCAAGGAAGCTCAGCAAACTCGGAAAACCTGAAGTTGTCATCAGAACTCAAACAGATGGAACGCATTTGATTATGGAGAGTCACCGCTAAATGTATTAGTCAACACTCCAGACTAGTTATTACCTCTGCTCTCTGGAGTGTACTCATTGCAAGAGCAGCACAGTCAAACAGTTTCCAGAGCTGTCAATCACCGTGCCAGAGCTGTGGTGCAACACAGAGACACACACAGGGGGCTCAGGGGATTGCTCTTTAAGTGCTTAACCCCAAAGGATTACTGCTCCTTTATGACTATATGTGTGGTTTGTGCCTGTGCTCCACATGATGCACATCTGATAAGGGCGGATCAGAGGTGACAGGCACAGGGGAAGGGATCTTAGCTCACTCTTTCGGCTCTCTCCAGGGAAACATTAAATAATCATTGAAGAATTAAAAAGTAAATCATTTTCAGGATGATGACTCCATAACTCTTGTTTGCTCGTTTAGTAACAACAATGTTTGGTGATATTGTTTAAATCCAAATGTGGAAAGTAAAGTATATTTGGACAGGATCTGTGACGTTTGGAATATTAGTTTTTTATTAGTTTTTTATGGTTCATTTCAGGGAAAGCTTTTACATATTTAATTCACTTTATGTTTCAGTTGCTGAATTTACTTTAACCACTTAAGATGTCCAGTATTTAACATATTATAATTAAATTAAATTAAAAACATCCGGAATCCAAACTAACTACACTTAAAATCTGATGCCCTGCAATAGTATACAATTTTCAAGGGAAGAATGAAGAAAGTTTTTAAAAAAAATGCTGATTTGTATTCCGCACATTGCACTGGGAGTACTTTTACTGGAGCTATTAGATGTATGCACTTTTACCTTTACCCAACCACATATTCTAAATAAATGGTGTACTTAAACTCTGATACATTTCACCTGAGAATCTTCATACTCTAAATAAAGTAATTAGGGCAATCATCTGATGATTTTGATGTTCTTTTTTTTTATTTTTTTTTACTGGAAACACAACTTTCAATGAAAGGAAAATACATAATTTTTTCCAAGAGACTCCATTTTTTAAAGGTGCTACGCTTAAAATAAGGATTATTATTCTTTAAATTCTCACCATTTTTTTCATAGACAGCATTTACTTGTAGTTTATGTTCAATACTTAAGTATCATTTATCTTAGAAAAATACCTCATAGTACAGAAAAAATACCTTTAAGACTTTTACTCAATTATAAACCCTGTTTTCACCTACCTGTTGTGATCTGTACTTTTACTCAAGCATGGCTTTCATGCACTATAATCATCATGACAACAAGTAATCCCTCAGTCTATCATTTTAAACAGTTGTGGTCTCTAAACACACTTAAATGAAGTATTAGTTTTGTGCCATGGGACCCCTGCTTACAAATAAGACATCCCGTAACCAGCCATGCAATTAGGCAAATAAAACCTGCAGAGCTCTCAGCAACAGTAACAGCTTATAACACCATTTAATAGGCACATCCTTCGAGCTATAAATGTTTATATGATTGCATCATTCAGGCCTTGTAAGCCAAAATAAAAATGCAGTCATGTACAAGCTTGTTTAAACGTCCAAAACACAAGAAAAAGACAAGGGGGTTGCTTGGGAAAACTCTATTAGTTCACATTAAGTTATTGATCAGAGGCTTCAAACTCACTTATACCGATACTCACGAAAGCAAGAGATTTGAGGAGTAATTCAGAGATTTTCTAGGTCAAAGGCCACCTTAACGCTGCCATGCAAAATCAAATCACAGCCAAGGAAATGAGCCATGAAACACTGATTGCTCCGTTCATAAAGACCATTTTTCCCACTTGCTCAACTTAAGAATTATTTGATTGTGTAGAGTGCTGACTTCACTGCAAACATGAGCACTGCTTGCACATATTGCCTGAGTGTATAATCAAATCAGGACCACTGATACAATGAAGTGAACAAATATCTCATAGTATGTAGGAACAATGGATCTTTGTTCCATAAGAGAGCCCTCAGAAAGCTAATACACTGACCCAAGGTGGGAACACCTCAGGGGACTGTGAGCCCGGCCTGTGCTCAGCATTAATTGGTGGCGCTTTTATTGGATAATTCCCACATAAGCAAGATCCATTTAAGTTAATTTAAAAAAAAAATTATAGCGAGCATGTGTGCTTTGTCGTTGCAAAAGCATGTGAAAGTGCCACAGAGAAGGAATATACTTAAAGTCAGATGCAGAAGCTTTAGCATAATTGCAACAATAAGTGGAATGCTTTCTGTTATACAATGGACTTCTTCTAATGATGATTCATGTGACCAGAAAGACACATCACTCCAGTCTGCTGAGTCTGTGGTTTCAAATAACGGCACTAAAGGCTATTTTCCTCATGAGACAGGTCAACATAGCTCTTACCCCCACCCATATCATCCCAGCCATGACACTTTCACACCTCGGCTCATACATCAATTTGGAACTTAGAGCCCCTGTCCTGTAACAAAAAACTTGACTTCTGGAAATAGGTTGGAAATTCCCTTTACGCGTCAGTGATATGTTGCCTTAAAGAAATAAAACATTATCATCTTATTGCTTTGTACATTTACAAGGTAGCAACATAACCGAAGGGCTCACTGGTGTATTCGTCAACTGTAAACCCTGTAGACTTTAACAGTAGCAAGCAAACCAATGTGATTTGAGATTTCAGAGGAAGCTATAGTAAGGCGACAGTGGGAGGCTTTGTGAACCGAGGCTTTAAGCCAACAAAGTGTGGGCTTGACTTTGTCTAAAAACCTCATGCTGATAAATGGCCTCTCCAAGTAGACAAACTCAGAACACAAGGCCCCTGCTGCACAAGAGCCAAACTGCTACCTCTGCTGCTGCTGGCTGAATCTGATTACAGGCAGGCCCCGAGGACAGGCAGGTCATTGAGAGCACAGAGATGAGCAAACAATAAGATATTATCTGAGGGAATCTTTAGCTTTCCAAAGGAAAATGGTCCCTCTCAGTGTCACATTGACGATAGGATCCTCAACCTGACACTGAATCAGCCATTTAAGAAGAATGAACACTGCCACCCATTCATACACACTCACTAAAATAATGAGAGCTCTTTTTTCACTCTTGTTTAAGACATATAAAGGGAAGCTCATGCGGCTTTGCGAAACAAGGCTGTGCAGAAACCGGAGCATGCAGCTGACTCAGATGAATATGCCTTTACAATGATTGGGTATTGAATGAACAATGCTATAGTCTTTTTTCTTTATTCTTATGTACATCTATATAATACATGTGTTTGGCTTTATTGTACTTTGCTGCTCCATTGTTGTGCTCTTTTGCACTTCAACAGATTACTTGCAAAACATGACTCTACACCTCTATTGAGTCTGAACATGTAATATATCAAATATGACGACAACACAGTGAAATTAGCAAAAATGTATTTCCGGTTAAAGTTTTTCATAATATATTGGTGCCATTTCTGAGTGGCTGTTTTTTTTGGTCTTTTCAAACAAACAGTGACATCTTGTGGACACCTGGCCTCATTTATACTATGAGTTATACACTGTATGGGTGAAGAATATGTTTGTACTATGCTACCTTCTCATGAAAAGTGTAAATGCAATTAACTTTATTGTGTTGAGTCAAATTCTACAATTCATTTAGCAGATTTTGTCCTTTTGTCCAAAGCGACGTAGAGAGTTAGTACAACACAAGCAAGGCTCTAGAGAAGGTAGGTCTATCTGCTAATGAACAAGCTGTAAGTTTGATCGGTCACAGGTACTGACAGGCAGTGAACTGAAGCAAGTCACTGTTGTTGTTTTTTTTAATAAATATCCTCATCAATAATAAGCCTGTAATTAAATCAAGATACCTGTGACATACAAAAGACACATTTCAGCTAAAGTGGCAAACAAAAGGTAAAACACTGCAGAAACCATATTTAATGCAGATGTTTGAATATCAGGTAATATTGAGTTTTGGTTTAAAGCACTGTAATTCAAGTCAGAAAGCTTTATTGGCGTAAATGTGAAAAATCTTGATAAAATTGTCATTTGAACTAAAAGAAAGATGTCACATGACGTTAAAAAAAACATACTAATACAAATTATCAGCAATTATAACCGAAATTTCTGGAATTTTTATTATGAGAATTAGAGCATGTCAAAAAAAAAGGCCCAAATAGGAAATGTGTATATTGAACTACAACAATGGACGCTGTGCTTGTCACTCGCGGTTTGAAATAACTAAATCTCGCGATACGAACCGCAACTGTTTGCCAGGCACGAAGAGGAGTAGCGATGAGAGTAGAGAGCAAATATCTCCGTTAATGTAACGCTAGTCATTGTAATATCGACATTTAACACACAGTTTCTCCTGTAGGTTATTGCAGTAATTAAAAGCTCATAGTCTTATATATGTTTGACGTTATTTCCTGCTTATAAGTAGCTTGGGATTTGTAAGTACGCGGCCACAGAAGCCAAATTGTATGTGTAAAGAGCTAACTGTTAGCTGACAGGCTACCTAGCTTAGCCATTGATGCAATGGCGTTGAAAAGAATTCAGAAGGTGAGTGTGTATTTCTTTTATGTTGCTCTCTATGCCTCGTTGTATACTCATGTTACTGAATGCGGGATGTTCCGTGAATGTTACACCGCCCTGTTACATTGTCTTTAGCTCGGCTTAGCATAACTTGTGTGTTTTGTTGTTCTCCTTTAAACAATAATTCACAGACAAAGACGAGCTGGTGGCTCAGTTGGTGCATTGCTACAGTAACGCTTCTATCAATAACCACTCAAACCAGGCCAGTGTTTCTGAGTGTTATGTTGTGATTGTGGCTTTATATTTCATTTTCGACACTTTGGATCTTATGAGTACTTGAGTTAAGATGGCTAAAAAAAGGACATTTCTCTGCGTTAAGATAACTTTGGTTTTTACGGATTGACATCTCGGCTTTTTTTCTTAATTTCGCAGCTTGTCAGTTCTCTTGTTTCCTTGTGGTTGGTCGTCAATAGTAAAGCTGATGATTTGTCTGGTCTCTGAATGACAGCTGCTTGCTGGTTGCCAAAATTGAACCCTAGTGTCGGTGTTGCCATATATGGATTGGTAAATGGGGCACTGGAGCAGGCCACGGTGTGTATTTATATAACAGAATAGATACGCTGCCTTTCAGGACATGTTAAATAATGTGCTTAATTTAAATTTCACCATCTGTTGTTTTGGTGTCTTTGCTCAATGTCACAACGTGTGTATGTAACGTGGTTCTGTTGAAAAACAATGTCCTTTAAGCCTCCGCCTTGCTTATGTAGGTTGGAAATATTCTGTTCATGTAGTTGTGTTATGTGGTCAACATCTGTTGGCTAAAGTGAGGTGATGACTAAAATGTTAATGAAGTCGTCTGTCCTAAAAGCACCTTTCACATTTTAGCATCTACTGCGAACTTGGCTGCCATTAAATATTGCATCCTTACTGAGATTTGTGGTTTGTTCTTGAAAAATCAAGTAAGCAATTTTTTTTTTACATTAAGTCAGACATCATATGGATTAAGTTTTAGTTAAGTACCAAAGAGGCGAGTCCCTGTTCCTCGAATCCCTTTGGATGAATGGAAGGTTTTCTGAACTAAATATAAATCATCCGTTATCTTTGAAACGTTGCTCTTGTGTTGGGACTAAAGCACAAAATATGTTCTTGTGTCCACATGTGCCCAACATAAACAAATATAAAACAACCACACTTAGAATCTGATTTAAAAATGTAATTCTTTTTACTTTTGCAAAGTCGACAATAAGTTTTCATTATTTGCCTTTCTTTCCTTTAGGAACTGTCTGACCTGCAGAGGGACCCACCTGCTCAGTGCTCTGCTGGACCGGTGGGAGATGATTGTGAGTTGTTGAAAATGTGCTTTATATGTCAACCTTACCTGAACTTAATTGTGCCCTATTGCCTTATTATGTACGGTATGTTATTACATCAGTTCAGCGTTTCAGTGTGCATCCAGAGTTGGGGACCAAACGTTTTTTCTAAATTCCTTATTAATCTTTATTCACAGTGTTTCATTGGCAGGCAACTATAATGGGTCCGGTAAGTGAAACTGTATCTTAAGACAATTTAAATATGATTGAACTGAGCAACAAAATCATGAAGCTTCTGTCTAAAAACTATACACATTTTATATTTAGAGCGACAGCCCATATCAGAGTGGAGTGTTTTTCCTCACCATCCACTTCCCGACAGACTACCCATTCAAACCACCCAAGGTGAGCAATGAAGCACATATTTGACCTCACTTCAACTAACAAGTAATTCATGTGAATGTATTAAACATATTCAACATTCTTTGCTGTTTTGTCACAGGTTGCATTTACAACCAAAATTTACCACCCTAATATCAACAGCAATGGGAGTATTTGTCTGGACATACTGAGATCACAATGGTCGCCTGCACTTACCGTATCGAAAGGTAAGATTTATAAGCCATGCACCAGCTGCATAAGTGTGTTGACATTTTTATTAATGAGGGCAGCTTTGACTGTTGACTCAGCATGGACAACACTTGGGCCCTTACGATTGGATTAGCCTTCATTTGGTCTCATGCTCATGCAATGTCTTCAGGTCTTTATTGTACTTCCCTATAGCTAAAAAAAAAAGTCATATGTAAAATAATAACTTGAATTTTCATACCACAATACAACATGCATAGACAAGTATACTAAACTGTAAAGATTGTTCTTGAACCTGAACCTACCCTTTACCCATATGTAGTGGGAATACTTCTCTACCTGTTCATTACAGACAAAGCAAGCTTGCATGATGTTAAAAAAGTGATGTTGACAATTCCCTCTCAAGTCCCATGTCATTGTCAGCCTTGATACTAAAGTCATGCTTTGAGACTGAATATAAGGGTAAGGGATAATACAATATTACACTGATTTCTCAATAACTACAATGTTTTCTAAAATCATGAAGTTAGCCATGATACAGTGTTGATAAGATACAGGGGCTTGTGATGGATACAATATAATATGCCTGTGTTACCAAGAGCATCTCACTAACCACAAAGAAGATGGCTCACACTGACTGGATGATGCACAATGTAAATTTCAACACATGTTTAACAGGCTACAAGGATCAATATTTTCACTTTAATCTGAAGAGCTTGGGATCCATTTGGATCATAACAATACAAAGATAACACACAGATTTCTACGCCCCTAGTAACATTTGATTATGTCTTAAGTTGATACCACTTTTCAAGGCTGTGATCTGTATTAAAATATGTAAAATCCCAACTTCCTGTGCTGGCTGGTTTTTAAAAACACATTTGCCTTTGTTGCTTAAAGCCATAGCCAATAAAACTCTCTCATTTCACTTTTTTGATTTCTTCCTCCACAGTATTATTGTCTATCTGCTCTCTTCTTTGTGATCCAAACCCGGATGACCCCCTGGTACCAGAGATCGCCCATACGTACAAAGCTGACAGAGAAAAGTGAGTGTGAAACATTAATGTGATTCACCACATCTTTCCCCTTTTCTCATTGTCCACACTGACTCATTTTTTTTTTTTAAATAAGGTTCTGTTTCATTTATTTGACCTTTTCCATATTTGCTTGTGTTTCACAGGTACAACAAATTAGCAAGAGACTGGACGCAGAAGTATGCAATGTGAGAACACTGGGGAGATCAAAATACAAATGAGAACAAAAGAAACACGTTTGATTTGTAACTTGAGGCAAATGAGCAACAGATTGGGGGGGTGGGGGTGGGGAAAAACTAGTCCTTTCTTTTGGAGGAGGAAGCTTAACAATGAGGTACAGTGCCACCTGGCTTTCCATGTGCTGAGCTGCTACCATGAGCTGTCCTTCATGAATGGAACTGCTGAGCAGGACCTGATGGGCTCCTTAAAGCACTCCCATATGGAATACCGGAAACTTTTCACAGCCCATACCGCCACTTTCAGACTTTAAACTGTTACTCCTGCTATTGTGATTATCACTATAAAGTTGCTATTTATCATTTTCACTGTCAGTGAGTCATATCGTCTTGCTAGTCAGAAGCAAAATGTTTGATTTCTTTAGGAGGTTTGTTCTCCCTTCATTTCAGAGGTACTGTCTGTGTCCCACTGGATGTCTTGTTCTCACTGTACTTCCATGTATTTAGTGGCCTTTCTGTGTTATTATTTTTTTCGGTAAATGTGCAATTGAGGCAGAATGTTCCCTGTTCGACGTAAAATGGTGCAGTGCCATTACCAGCAACAGATCTGTTGGCACATACTGTCTCTACCCCCAAACAATGTGAAAATGTAAAGAATCATTGGTCTCTATCTCCCACTGCATCTCAAACGTGACAGTATTAAAAGGTTTCAACGACAACAAATCTGCTTTCAGAAGCTAGCTAGCCCTTGAGTAGTGGTTTTGCTCCAGAGGTTGAATGTCAATTTCCGTTTTTCTCACACATGCTGTGATTGCTCCCATATCCCATAACGGTAACCAGTTGCAGCTGGTGTAATAGTGCATAAAAATACTACTGTTTGACTTGTCACTTGTTGTGGAGCTATGAACACAGCTGCTGTGTGCCACCTCATCAGTGCAGTTACTCAGGTATCTAACATAATCATCAGCCTAAATACACGCAGTGACCATGGTGAGAAAAAAGACCAGGGCTCATATCATCAGCCTACTAAAAATCAGACTAATCTTACTTCAGTGGTTTGTTCATGCAAAAGAAAACCTGCGCTACCCTGAGGAGTTAAAGTAGTAATCAAAGACAGGTCAGCACTCCTGATGTTCTTTATGCTTAGGCCCTGATTTTCTATTTTCATACTGTCCTAAGTACTATTATTTTGTCACAGAGATGTTTTTTTTTTTTTTTTATCTCACTCCACTCCCTGTTGTTACCTTTTGATTTATTTTGAACAACTGTTTTCAAACGACACTACTTCTTCTCTAGATGAAAATGGCCTTTGGTTACAGCTCGTGTCACTTAAAATGGGAACTCAGACATTTAGAAGAAACTTGTGATTTGAAGAAATGTGCTTTTTGTTGCTTGAGCTGAATGAATACATTAACATTCAGTGTACTTTGCTTTAAATATCTGGTGAAATAAAAGTTTGTCAAAATGTTTAAATTCATTTTCATTATCAGGTTTGCAAACTTTGATTTCATTTAGTGGCTAATAATCCACATTTACGGCCAAACCATTTGTCTGGGTGCAAATCTTTGTGACCTTTGCATTGTGTCTTTAAAAACTTTAGTTTAAGGCCATTCTTTTTCTTTTCATTCAAGTCACCAGAATTCAAAAACATGATTGTGATGTGTCATAATGTACAACGTGATATTATTAGTTTTATGATCCATTGTGACCGAAGTAGTTAGAAAACGCTGTTTTTTATTTTTATTTATCTTGGCTGATAATGTGCTGATGCTGCCAATATAAAGGGAATTATTTGATGTTATAAAAGGGGAATCAATTTAGCTATTGAGGCATTATTGAGAGGATTCATCCAGAAAGGTCCATACTAAAGCATGAAAACTATAGAAGCTTGGTTGTAGAATTAACATCATGGTTTAGGCACCAAATATAGATTTCACCACTATTAGCAGCTGTAGAGAAAAAAAAGCTCTGAAACACCATATAAATTAAAAGGTTAAGAAGTGATATCCTCTCAATGCAGTGATTGTTTTGCTGCTACACCACAATTGAAAAAGATGTGTGTAATAGTTCTAGTTCATTCTTTGTGTGCATCGTCGTTTGTTCTTCTGGCTAATTTATTTATCTGAAAGCTGAGTATCTTCCAATTGTACAATTGAATGCAGCCTCAATTCATCATGTGAGTGATGTGACATTGACTCCCTTTGTCCAGTGTGCTATATAGAGTTTATATATAGGCAGCTTGGCATGCTTTGCACTCTGGCGAACCTTCTCACAGCCATTTGCCAGATATCAGGGATTCCGTTACAATTCATCTGCCTAACACCTCTGACTGAAATGATAGCCTTAACCCTCATTCTGTGTATATATAAAAAGAACATCGTCATCCACTGTAAACTTGCTATCAGGGCTGTATCCCCCAAATGGGTGAGTCATTTCATCAGCAAACACAGAACAGCTGCTTGAACAGCACTAATATTTCTGTTGAAAATGTCAGCCTGGCTTTCTCCTGAATGCAGGACGAGCCTTTTGCATCCTTAAATCTGGATTATGTATGCTTGAACTGCCACCATGAACGTCCCACATGTCCTCACATAGCCTACACAAAATAACTATTGACCTTGTCATAACATATGAATAAAGTTCATTTTGGTTTACCATCGTCTGCAGTCATTTATTGTGTTTTTTACGCTGAAGAAAAAAAACTTACCTGTGGAAGCCCATTCCTGATAATGTGATCTAGCCATGTCATGAAAATGATCTTTTGAGAAAAAAGTGGGTTACTTTCTTTTGACAAAATGGTCTTGAAATCAGTTTATCAAAATAAAAATAGTAAGTTAGTATCTCAAAATAATTGAACTATCCTGAAACAACATGTCAAGATAATGACTTAGTAGTATAGGGCTTATATTAAAACATTGGAATAAGACACTTTTTTTATGGACGTTTTGGAACAAATAAAGAAATACTAGTCTGTACATGTTATATTTGTAATGATCAGTAAAGCTAAAGTCCTTTGAAAAGTTTACTATACAGCTTCTCTCAATGGTGCGTTTGATTCACTGACCTCTCATTTCAGGTTTTTGCGGTGCAGACAGAAATCTTAGCATTGCGCTATCTTTCTTTCAAAATAACCTTCCTAAAGTGATAGTTTCGTGCATCTTCATTATTATTTTGAGACGCTAAGGTGGCCAATTCACACCTGAGTTTAAAAATAAAGAAAAACTAAAACAAGCTCCGCTCTTCCGGGTATGCAAGTAGACCTCATGCAGGATACCGCAGCTGAAGCGAAGCTGGCTTCCTGTGCAGCATCATCGCCACCCCTCCAGTAGGAAGGGCGCATCCCGGATAGCTGGCTGGCTAGCTGTACTCAGCGGAACGATGGCAGTAAACCTCAGCAAAAATGGCCCTGCATTGACGGCTGCGTTCAAAGAAGTGGTAGATGAAAAATCCTCCACCAACTGGTAAGGAGCAGCGGTAATAAAACAATGTTGTGTTTGTGCAGCAGGCGTGGTGTTTAGCTGTGTTGGTGGCTAGCTTTGATCCAGCCGTCAAGTTAGTTAATGTGAACCTGACGTCAGATAAACTCAACCTTTGATATACTGGTTAAACACAGCAGGACTTGTACTTACCACGTCTGCTGGAGTTACACACAGCGTTTGTTTACATGAAGGCTTTAGGTTTTCACATGTACCACAGGTCTCAAGGCTAAAGATGAGCTAACACAACAGCTACTAACATTGTTAATTAGCTTGAAACACTGCCCAATTAAAAGGCCTCACACTGTGCACGTTTCATCAGCTTGAGCTTAAGGAAATTGAATGCCTGCATTGCTTTGTCTTATCACCTACTTCCTGGTAAGATATCAGGTGCTAAATGTGACCAAATATGTGAAAGTCATATCCAGGAACTTCCTCTTTGCGTTACTTAACGCGTCTGTGCTTGCCCTGAGATATACATGAAACCTGTTGATTGAAGCTGGTAGTGTTTAATGATGACCTACATTTATTAATTAATGAATCCAAAGATGTAATTGCACAGGGACCCGTGCCTCTAGCCTGATTGTGAGAATGACAGCCAGGGAGTGATTTAAAGACTAGTTTCACTGTGAGCAAGTTCTCCCTGTCATGGGCGGTTCTAGGCAGGGGCCAACAGGGGCCAGTGCCCCTGTAACACTGAGCTTGCCCCCCCCCTCCAAAAGGAAGAGCCGCCCTAATAACACATACACAGTATTTGACTCAACAACAGGACTCAAAGTATTAAATACTGTTACTGAAACAAATATAAATCATGGTATTTTATGTTTTGGTTATGTGCGCTATTATTTGGCATAATATATATTCTTTAAAGCGATCATGTTTGTCTTTTTTTCGCTCCCCTCTGACAAAACAACTGGCCCCAGTTTGGCCCCCTCAGTGAAAATGGTCTAGAACCGCCACAGCTCCCTGTATCTGAGAGTGTCAAGTAAATCCACTCCTGATTAACGACTTGATGTTCTTGTTTTTTGTGGATGATGACCGTCTATCAAGAACCTAAAGGCCTGAGATATTGTTTTGCAATCAATATTGGGCCTCCTCTGTGCCAAATAATGATGTCTGGTCAATAAATAATTTTCCTGATTAATGTAAGAGTTGCTGTGAGTAAATGCAAATAAGAGTTGCATCTTTTAGTGCCTTGCTTTTTTCAACTAACAGTCCACTCAGTTTACTTTCATCTACAATTAAAAAAAAATAAAAAAAAATCAGCTTATTGTAGAAGTTTAAACCAGCTGGTGTTGTGCTTTTTTGGCATCTTTCCAAAATTCTGAAATGATTCATCATCAATAGATTTGCATACAAATGTATTTAATGATCAACTTTAACACTTGTCGTTATTCATTCAACTTAACCTGATATAATATTAGCCCCCTCGGTAAGTGATCATCTCCTATTTTGTTAGTATTTAGTGGTTACAAAAGAAAACTTCCCATACCTACTGAACAAAGAAAACAGTTTGTCCTTCCCAGACATCATTAAGATAGTATTTATAAACTTAAAGAGCAAATACCTCCATGATGACAGGAAAGGCCCGTTATTAAAAAAGGGCATCAGAACGTGTAGAGCTGGTCATTCTTCATTCAATATCAAGGAAATGACACTGAACTCTTCCCTGGGCACAACTGCAAGAGTTACTCACAGGCCTGATTTAAAATTGGATTAAAACTGCAGAAAAACTTCAGTTTATTTACACTCTAATACTTCTCCTGTAATATGTATCATGTTGGAAAAGGGCTCAAGGGTGAAGGTTTCTTCTTGTTTTGGTTAGTGTTGAATAACACACCATCCCCTGAATCCCCATTCTGTCTGTCTGAGTGATCTGTTCAGCTGGTATTTAGATTCTCCAACTCTCGTGTTTTCCACAGGGCTTTGTTCACCTATGAGGGCAACAGTAATGATATCCGCCTGGCAGAAAAGGGGGGTGAGTGACTGAGTAGATTTTTGCTGTTAAATCTTTATAATCTGAACACGATATTATCAGATGTGTGCAGGAATTTCATTGTCAGCATACAGCTGCAGGACTGGAATATCAGCACAATAGGATTGCTTGCCTCTGCTTTCTCACCCCATCATTTGTAAGGGGAAAAAAAGATTCTGCAGTTACCCAGCTAACCACAGAAAACATTTTGGATTTTCCACAATGTTTATGTATCAGATGGAGGACTGGAGGAGCTGGTTGAGGAGCTGAACAGTGGAAAAATTATGTACGCTTTCTGCCGAGTCCAGGATCCAAACTCTGGTCTGCCCAAATATGTCCTCATCAACTGGGTGTGTTCCATACTGAACTCTTTTACAATCGTCTGTACTCTTTGTGGTGTTGTCCTTTTTAACTTGTAGATTATTATTTGTTTTTCAGACTGGTGAAGGAGTGAAGGACGCCCGGAAAGGAATATGTGCAAATCATGTCAGCTCCATGGCCAATTTTCTTAGGGTAACACTGCACTCACATGCTGAGTTTACTTTAAATACACATTTGAATTTTGTCTCTGGGAGGTTATTTACGGGTTGTATTCAATTTAAGTGATGGCTTAAAAATAAAGAAACACAAAGGAGAAAATACTGCACAGCAAGCTGCAGAAAATGTTTGAATAATGCAGCTTTGTTGGATTAGTCAGAGTCATTCACACCACACCAGCAAACAAATATAAACAAACTCGAGGTGGTGTGTGCATTAAGTCATTGAACAGAGCATTTAAAGAGCTTTTTATTCCTTGCTCTCTCAGGGGGCCCATGTCACAATAAACGCCCGGGCGGAGGAGGACGTGGAACCTGAAGTGATCATACAGAAGGTGGCCAAAGCCTCAGGAGCAAACTACAGCTTCCACAAAGAAGCCCCAAGCCGCTTCCAGGACAGCGGTCCTCAGGGCCCCGTGGTATGCAAGAGTGTTTGCTTGTGCTTCATGCGAGACAGATAAACAGAGGGCTAGATCTTAACTATGCTCACTAATCTCCTCCTTAAACATGGATTCATTTCAAATGTTTGTTTTTTCTCTTTGTTTTGGGCTCTCCATTAAGCCAGCACTTCTCCACACTGAAAACAGTTTTTCAAAACAAGTAGAAATATTTGGAAAAAGGAGCCAGAGCAGAATGACCTAAATTTAAAGAATAGTTATTTTTTCTTTCCTTTTTGTCAGTCTTGCTCTCTTCTTGGGTGAAATCAACCCCTGTATGATATCTGATGGTGTGTACTAAATGACTCTCATTATTCAAATCAGTAACATAATTCATAGATCATTTTACAAAATACATGGTTTCATATGACTGATATTTATGTTTGTGTTATAATTTAAGAAGTGACGATTGTATAGTATGTAGTTGGAATGAAAACAGTAGGTAAAGATAAAAACACTGTTGGTAGTTTGATCAGTATTGTGGTGTAACCTGTAGTCTTCATATTAATATGTCTCCTCTGTCTTGTAGGGATCAGTGTACCAGAAGACCAACGCAATGTCAGAAATCAGGAAGACCAACAAAGACAACTTCTGGGCTCAGGCAGAGGTAAGATCCTCAAACTGCATTAAGTGTATGCTAAATTCGACAAACATCTCTGAAAAAAATCACTCCCGAAAATACTTTATTTTTGCAAGAACTCTGCACGTTTCTGTTTGGATAAGCACTGAAATGTTTCACATATTGCTCTCTCTTTAACTTCAGTCAGAGAATCTGTTTGTGTTTGTCCTTTGTTTGCACTCTTGGCTCACCGCCATACCTGTCACAGATGCGCCCAGAAAGTTGGTGCTCATTGCTTTGCAGCTTTCTTAGATACATCTAGATACATATACTATATATATATGAATGCAGGACGAGCCTTTTGCATCCTTAAATCTGGAATATATATATATATATACACACACACACACACACACACACACACACACACACACACACACACACACATACATAATTTAGTACATAATCCCAAATACTGACCCTGCTGGTCTGTCTGTCTTTCAGAAAGATGAGGAGAAACGTCGCAAAGAGGAGCGCCACAAGGCAGACGAGGAGCGCCAGCAGTTGGAGAAGGAGAGGAAAGACCGAGAGGTCAAGGAGGCAGCACAGAGGGACAAAAGGGACAAGGAGAAAGCTACTGAAATTGATCAGCAAAAGTAAGTTTTAGCTGAAGAAAAAGCACGGACAGGGCCAATTTTTTTTTTTCAACAACTGTTTAAAGTTTCAAGTGACACTTCCTCTGTGTTCTAAATGGTAATTTGTTTAACAGGAAGTACCAGCAGCAGCAGGAGTCTGTGAGTAAAGAGCAGGAGAAACAACGCTATGTGAGTGTTTTACTGTCCCCAATGCCTTACACAATAAGTCAATGGGTTCCCTATGTGAAGTCATTTCCATACAGAGCAGTTGCTGAATTTAAGTTTGGGTAGTGCACACTTCAGTGAGGAAGGTAGCTTATGTGAACAGATCCAACATTTATACTGACATCATCAGGAGGAGCAGGAGGAGGACCAGACGGCCCAGAGGAAAGCAATCAGGAGAGGTGAATCTGTGGAAAAGGCCAACGTGAGTTCCCCTTCCCAACAGAGCTCTCCTCTGGACAGACTACTCTCCTTGCTTAACCAAAAACACACTAAACAAACAAGTTTTGTTTTTCTCTTCTTCTTCTTCTTCTTTCATGCAAAATGTAACACAACTGTCTCTTAAATGATCTGTTTCCGTCCTCTGTGATCATTTACAGATATCGGGCTTTTCTCAGCTCTGTAGTGCTTTTCTCAGCCCCCACATTATTTATAACCTGTGGTTTGTAATTGTGCATGCTGTTCACTTTTTCTGCAGGAGGCAGCTTCTGTCATCTCTCAGCGTGCCATGAACCCCAGAGAGATGTTCAAGCAGCGAGAGAGGGGAATCACTCCCAGTGACTCAGACGCCCCCTCTGCTGCCCCTGCCCCTGCCAGCCCCCAGCCAGGTATCACCCCTGCACACACACCATGACCCCTCTTTAATAAAACTCTTAACTGCCCTTCCTGCATCAGTGCAAAGCTCTGTCAGCCTCTTCTCTCTCAGGTAGCGGTAGGTGTGGTAGACGCTGGCTTATTCAAAGCTTTAACTCTCCGTCAGACCGTCAAGTGGTTTCATTGTCATACTTAACTTTGCGTCTCCATCATGGTGTCTTCTCTTCTTCCGCTCAACATGTCTGCTCTGTTTTTTTTTTTCTCCCTCTCTCTTTCTCGCCCATTTGTTTTTTTATCTTGGCATGTTGCGGGGGCTCCATGTGTGTCTCTGCTCAGGGCGTCTGCAAAGCCCTTTTCTGTCTAAGCCCGTGTATGAGTCTGAGCGAGCCAGTTCACCTCAGCAGCGCCAAGCTTCTCCTGTGCCAGCAGGCTCTGCCTCTCCTGTCCCCGCCACAGGTGTGAGCTTGCACACACATACACACACTTCACAAGGATATTTCATACTTAACTCCAGTCTGCATGCTTCATTTCCATTGTTGCATCTTTGTGTGTCATCATCTTCATATTCATTGTAATCATTCAACCAAAAGTCTTCCGTTCTGTTTCCAGTCATGTTGAGTTATTTGTAAAGAATGCTGTTGGTGGTGGTTTTCCGCCTGTGTGGACTTGTTTTTGTGTTCCTCTGTCTACATGCATGTCTGTGCTTGTGTTTTGGGTGATAAGAGCCTGATGTGGATGATGGACAGTCCAGGTGTGAGTATGATGAGCCGGAGGTGACCCCCCCGGAGCAGCCTACAGGTGGGGCTCATTAAACACAACCAGCCTCAGTTTTAATCCTTCATGCATCAGCTTCCAAAACCCTCCCATTTGCTTGTAATGAAATGCTGTAGTAAGCACTTTTATCCCTACTAGTCAAAATGTGCTGCCAGGATCCGCTGCTGCCACCTGCTGGTAGATAACAGACAGCTCAGGCAACACACGCTCATTCTGACATGAATCTCTCTTTTCAGTGGAGGCACCGGCTGTTAACTCCTGCATCCAAGAGGCAGCACATGAAGAGCCCGCTCAGGTGGGTGTTTTCTTCATTTTATCAGAAAAATGCCATCACTGTTTTCGTTGTATCATATGAATGATCCTGAAATACATCTTAACCAATACTCCTCCCCCAGGTGGAGGAGCATAACTCCAACGAGGTGACTGCAGAGGAGACAGCAGACAGAGGCATCTGTGCCAGAGCCTTATATGACTACCAGGCTGGTGAGTTTCTACATAGGCAGGTCATTCAAAATGTATAGCTCCCAATAGCCAAGGTATAGTTTTCAACCTATAAAATGGAAACTCAAGCTATACAGAGGTTAACATTGGAATTTAGCACAGACGCATTTGGATAAGAGTAGCAATGAAAGTCTTGTTTAACTTTCATGAGGCGTTGAGGAAACTCGAAAATAATGTAATGAATGTAAACGTACGTCATTCAGTAACAATTTGCCGCTCTTCCTCTTCAGCTGACGACACAGAGGTCTCATTCGATCCTGATGATATCATCACCGGGATCGAGATGATAGACGAGGGCTGGTGGCGAGGCTACGCACCAGACGGCAATTTTGGAATGTTCCCAGCCAATTACGTTGAGCTCATCTAGCCGAGCGAGTCGCTCCAACCCCCTCCACTGAAACCCCCAGATTATCACAGTGGCAGCCCTGGCAGAGGACCTCTGCAGTAAAACAACACACGGCAGTTAAGTCCTCCCACACCCCGTGAGCTGCTCGGGCTGAAGCAGAGCTAAATGATCCTCCACATCATAGACCAATGATTGGACGGTAATCGTGGTCCAGAAACTTTTAAGAGTCTTTCCTCATTTCAAGCAAGTGATTCCTTTAATTTGTTGATGTTGTGAGCCACTGATGGCATAGTTTAGGGATTTGTGAAGACCCCTAGGCCGACCAAAACATCCCAAAACATACATCTCTTTACCTTTCAATGTGATGCAGTACGATATCAGCCTTTTGTTAAGTCTTAAAATTGTGACGGCACTTCTAGTTAGCATTCCTTACAAAGTGACTTCAGTTCTATTTCAGGTATTATTATTATTTTTTACTTGTAGCAAATGCTCCTGGACATTTCAGGGGGGGAAAAAAATCAAAGATGGTGGTACCAGCTACAGTATAATCCTTTTGCCTTGTTGTTGCCTTTCTTTACCAACAGACTGAATTATTCTTATTATTTGATGTGATTGAATCTACATCCTGTGTGACTACCATACCTTGTTTTAGTTCTGATCTGACTGTGGTTGAAGTGAATATTAGAATAAATACGATGTTTGCTGTGCTCTGGGTGGTCCGCTTTAGTGGGAATGCCTCAAACGGTTCATTTCCCCTTTTGACTGTGAGTATTTAACGGTTATTTTCATTTCAAGTCCTTTCTCATTTGAACCCGATTATTTCACCATAATACATTTCAGAGTCAAGCCAAACTAAAGAATTAATAATTGAGAATTATTTATCTTTTTTTTTTTTCTATCTCGCTGGTCTGAGATTGAGTTTCAGTGTGAACAGATCTCCAATAAGAAGTGTGTGGTATCACAGTGCCATGAAGGGGGGGGGGATACATACATAAAGCTGTGACATTAATTTGAAAATTAGAAACCACATTTATGCAACTTTAAAGTGTGTTTTTATTATGGAAAGAAATCATTGCTCTTTTAAGCTTTTAGCTCAGTGGACAGAATTCAAAATGAATTGATCATGAATAAAAAAAAAAAAGGGCATCATGTATCCACTGCATTATTCATATTTTCCCCCCAGAGTCTATTGTAATGCATATTCTTCATAATAAAACAAACAAACAAGCTCTGTTGTCATGTCTTCTCGTATAAGCTGGCTTTAGCATAGCATAGGCTATGTATAGATAAAAACAGAAAAACGTCTTCAGGGATTTTCAGAGGTCTAACAGGAACACAGACGTTGACACACACTCAGTCTGTTCTCTTTAATCAGTTTCCTGGAATGAGCGAACAGCTGGGGAATTCACCTCGAATGCAAAGGTTTCATTTTCACACGAAACATCGAATCTTTGTTCTGTCAGTGACGAAAGATATGCCCTGTAACTGAAAAATACAAGTAATTGCTGTTCACACCTGCATTAAAAAAGGATTTTAAATGTCTTTAATTCAAAGCCCTCCTAACCTTCTGATCGTTACTTTTATAATCTTTTTTTATGTTTGCATGTTTATGTTCATCTTTAAAAAAAACAATGCATGAACAAATTTTTTTAAAGATTTATTTGTGGGCTTTGTGTGCCCTTAATATGGAGAAGGGAAATGGATAGTGTCTGAAATCAGGGAGAGAGAGACTGAGAGTGGTGAACGACATGCAGGAAAGGAGTCACAGTTCAGATTTGGACCCGGGCTGCCCGCTTGGAGGTCTACAGCCTCCGTACATGGGGCACTTGACTCACCACTGCACCACCAGCACCTCATGCATTTGATGTCTGTGTTTGAGTGGATTCAAATACTAGAATATATTCATTTTACTTCTATTTATATTTATATTAAGAAAGGTCATTGGAGATAAAAATCTGAACATTTAGTTGGTTGTTTAGACATTTGTCACATCATTTAGTGCAAACTTCTTTAGAATATTGCTCAACAAGTAGCTGTGGTTTTAGGTTGTCATATAGGTCTTCTGCAATTTACTGTGGCAATCATTTTAAAACAGAACTGTGTGTGTTTTTTAATGCGTAAGTTTCATTAAAGGGATACTTCACCCGTTGAAACATGAATCTGTATTGACATTGGGTCATATATGTAGTAGAAATGTGAAATACATTTTGAAGTTGGTGCCTTCTTGGCCAAGAAAAGGCAGACAGTGTCTTTTTGGCTCGTGGATGACAGACACCAAATCCCAGAATGCACAGCACCGCAGGCCACTCCCACTAAGGTCCTCTAGTTCAGAATCAGAAATAATTTATTAATCCCAGAGGGAAATTTGATCGTTACAGTTTCTCCAAAATATACAGTATAGTACGGAGCCCCTAAAGGGACATAGGCAGAAAAAATAAAAATATATGTTTCTCGTGCTCACATGAAAGTTTTGCATGTGCACGAAAAAGTTTCTGGTGCTCACCAGAAACCTTCTCGTGCGCACCAGATATCAGGTTTCTGAGACAATATAACGGTGACTGTGCGCAAGCAAAGCAGTTATGTCCTTGTAATTAAGTCCAAGGTTAAAATATAGCTCAAATAAGTCCTGTACTGTCATTTTTATCACAAGAACACAGAAGACTGGCTGGTTTCCGTTGTGCACCTGATAGCTGGTGCGCACAAGAAACCTTTCTTGTGAGCGCTAGAAACTTTCTCGTGCGCATGCAAAACTTTCACGTGAGCACAAGAAATTTTCACGTGAGCACCGGAAGAAACTGGAGAAACATATATATTTTTTTCTGCCTATGTCTATTTAGGGGCTCTGTAGTATAGCAGTAGAAATATAAAAATAAAAACATTTACAGACATATTTACTTCAACACATGAGGCCATTTCCTCAACTGATTCAGAGATTTCTTCCAGAATTGATCTTGGAAATTCCTGGCAGCCAGCCCGGGCTCCTCGTCCTCACCACCGCCGACAGGCTGGCAGCGGCCAGCAATATAGCAATATAGCCGTGAGACGGTTGCTGCCGACAGGCTGGTCTTGTGTCTTAGCGGCCCCGGCGTCTAGCGGCGGCCCGGGCGACCAGCAGCTGCAGCAGCCAAGACACAAGACCGGCCTGTCGGCAGCAGCCGTCTCGCCACTATATTTACATTATCAGCTTTCTCCATAGAGCCTGTTAGCATAGCTTCCAAGAAATACGGCGGACGTTAAGTTTTGATTCTGGGAGTGAGTTCCCACCCACTGATCTGTGATTGGTCTGTAGCTTCAGTGGTCTAAAATATGAGGAACTAGCGTTGTAGTTTCACCCTGCTAACCGCAACAGCTTCCAGTGACGCATATGACGATATTTGCGTCACTGGAAGCTCCTTTTCAGACTTAGAAATACAGAACTTTTCAGTCTCAGGGGGGAAATGGAGGGCTGGATGCACGACCATTCAAAATACTACCATGCATTTTAAAAATTGTAGTTCCCTTTAAATGTCCGTTTATATTAGCCTGGCTGTCACTAAACAACTAATCAAGCCAATCATTCCCTGCCACACATACTCTACTGAAAAACTAATAAGTGAAGAATATTACCTCCCACCCCTGATCATTTACATCTCTGCTCTCTGTTATCACTGCATTTCCTTTCTACTTTTGTTTTAATCGCCTAAAAAAACATTTCAACTTTTAGTTATTTTATTTAGGAGAACTTCATTCCTCTCAATCTGCACACAGTTACTCGCCATCCTGACAAGTTGAACCATTGTTCCTAAGAAAGTGACTCACGTCAGACAGGAAATCTTCTTTGTGTTGGATTCACAATATTTTTTTCCTCCTGTTCTCATTTACACCTCACTGCCCTCACCTCAACCTCGTATGTTTGTGTCAGTGAAAGTCTGAGATGAATAGCTGGGGATTTTCTCCCTCTCAACAACCTCTGTTTTTGCTCATCGTCGCCTCATTTGTTATCAGCTGCAGGAGGGAGAATACTTCACAAGAAGTCTGCAAAACATATAGTCAGAATTACAATGGGTTAAAAATCATTTCCATGAAGCTGCATGAATATCAAACTATGAATGTGAGGGTAAATATTAATATCTCACCTTACACCTGATCTCTGAGGCCTTTTTATAATGTTTAGAGTCAGACTTTGATTTCAACTGACGTCACATTTGTTCTCACTTTGTCATCACTAAATAAAAGAATCAAATAACCTAATAACATTATCTTCTCACCACTAAAGCATTCTTTTGAAATCTTCTCTCAGATTTGTGCACTGAGCGCTGTCGATCGTCTCTGAAATCACAATTTCAAAACAAAAAATTGTATTTCCCCTCTGAGTTTTGAACAGCCTGTAGATATTTGGTTATTTTGACATTTAAATGTTAATCATTTTGAAATGTCACACTCTATCCGCAACAGATGGGGGAACAGGGCATCCCCTTTTTAAACAGATCAAAAACAAGCGGAGGAAATGTGGACCATGTTGAGTGCAGCTTCATAACTCTTTGAGTATTTTTTTATCATCACATCTGTGTAATAGAAATGAGATTGGGACAGCATATAAAGTTGTGATAAAATACAACAAATGTGTGAGGAAATGATCAGACAATGGTTAAGAGAGGCTTTAGATCCCTGTCCTCTTTAGGTTCTGTTGAAAGTATAATGCTGACCCATCACGACTGGCAGGGGGGCCGTGAGGAACAACGCCTCATAAGACAACTCCCACTGACTCATAACTGTAGTAAAGAAATAGCTGACCGTTTTATTTACTCATTTCTAGTGGAATAAGCAACTTCTGCAATGTCCTGGCATTTTATTTATAACTTCAATCTTTCAGGCAACAGCAAGTAGAAACTTTTTTTTACAGAAGTAGGGCTTCTCCTCTTCCTCAAATTGTAAAACTTCAATCCTGCATCTACCAGCCAGTCTAAAAATGTCCATCAACCAACATATGAGCTCTTTTAGAATCATTCTCATCGATCAATGATTATCCTTATCACTAAAAACAGTCAAAAGCAAACTTAAATACATAGAGTATCCGCAGATCTAGTTTAGTTCTTTGTTTTTGCATAAGCACTAAAGCACTTTAATCATAAAAAGTGACATCTACTGTCATGATTTGGTCTTGTTGGGTTTTGTATTTTGTATATTTTCAGAGTTGAGATTTCCATGTTTTAGTTTGTCTCATTCTGGTGTTGCTTGTTTTCCTTGTGTGTTTCTTTATTTTAATGTTTCCTGGTTATGTCTTTAGTGTTTCCTGTTTAATTTTGTAATTTTTTATCCTTATGTTTCTCTATGTCATAGTGTGTATTTTTTCAGTTGATAATCCTGAGTTTAGTTTTCAGTGTTTCCTGTTTCATAGTAGTTAGTTTCGTCCCCGTGTGTCATGTCTACAGTTTGTCTTCATGTCTGTGTGATTCCCTCCACTTTTGATTGCCCTAATTGTTCTCCCCTTTGTCTTGTTAGTTTCTCACCTGTGTTCCATCCATTCTGAGTCAGTTCTTTCGTCTTGCTACCCGTGTATTCTGCATATCTCTTTGTGGCTCCCCGAGGTTTATTTCTTTTTTTTCCTTTTTGTGGATTTTTTGTTGTTGCAGTCTTTAAAAAAGTAGCCTTGTTTTTGCCTTTTTGTTTGTTAAATATTTATTTCATTTCTGCAAGTGGGTCCTGTTCCTCATCATTTAAATCTGACATTTACACCACATTTTAAAAAAACAATACTCATAATCAGGGCTTTAAATTTACTTTTTTGATCACCAGCCACCAGCTAGTAGATTTTTAAAGTTACCAGCCAACCAGATTTTCTATCAGCCAAATTTCCCCAATCTGGCAACACTGATTTGTTGCATCATTTCTGCAACCTGCCGATTCAAACAGACGCAGTGATATTTGCTTCATTCATCACCAGCCAAAATGGCTAGTAACTCTACAATGTTATCCCCCAAAGTTCATTTTTACCCCCAAATGGCCGGTTGGCGGTGGTAATTTAAAGCCCTGCTCATAATTCATGATCATTCCTTGTTGTGCTACATTTTAAAATAAAAGATACTCTTAAGATGAGTCAGGATGGAAAGATGTGTTGAAAATTCATGTGACGACAATTTGGGGAAATTTTGTGTGAAAACATGAACATGTTTTGTACGTCTAAATGTAATATCAATTCCATTTCCTATTTATTTCAGAACCACTTTTTTTGGCCGATTAAATTTCATA